CTTTACAGCAGTAGAAAACCTCCTCTTTCTCCTGTGGAGGGGCAGGTGGCTTCAAACTGCTGACCTTCTTGTTGGCAGCCCCACTCATCTGAATTCAGATTTCTGGCCTTCTAGGCTGGGTACAAGTAAGTGTCTTTTCCTTGAAGCCACTCCCTCGTGTTATTTCTGATGCAGCCGCATTAAGAATTGAAGACAGCCACCCTCCAGCCACAGGTGCAGACCAAATAGCTGTCCTGGGGCCCACGTGGTTGGCTGCAGTGGCCTCACCAGGCACGCTGAGATAAGTACCTTTATCAGCCAGTGCGGGGCAGAGCCTGACCTTCAAAAGCAACTCTGGATCAACAATGACTATTCCTAACAGTGGGGCTTCTGGAACTTCTCCTGGGTAGACCAAGGCCTGTGTCCTCCGAGCTTCCTTTTCCAGTCCTTGCCCAGACCCCTGAGTTACCCCTGGCCTGCCCCAAAGATCAACGGGAGGCTCTGCACTACTGCCCCATCAGCCCCACCACTGTCGCCTGAGGAGGGAAGCCACTCCCCTCCTTGAAGAAGGTGAACAGTCTGTACTAGAATCCAATGCCCTGCCTCCCGGAAACGGCCATTTGAATGGAGCTTTCTTGCATGTTCTTTTGTGCGGTTCAAAGTGAGTGTACCCACATGTATTCAAAGATGTCTATTTCATTGACTGAGTTGCCCCCGATTATTCAGATGGGTATGAGAGCTGCCACATCCCTCAACGGCCCTGGCTCAGGCAGGATGGCGAGGGGACGCTGGCATGGTGGGAACAGCCAGCTTGGGCAACCCCTGGCAAGCCTGCCCCTATCCTTCCCCTGAAGGGGCTCCCGGTTTCTCTTACGGCAGGCCCGGCTGGTGCAGTACACAGAGGGGACCCAGAGATTGGAGGAGCCCGTGTCGAAGATGACGGTGAAGTTCTGTGGTGGGGAGCCGATGGAGATGGTGCCGAAGTATTCCATCTACGGGGAGGAGAGGGAAGGAGGAGGCCATGGGGTGAGGGGTGGGTGCTCACAAGGAGGAAGTGGGAAACCCCTGGGAGTGGTGCAAGAGCTGGGGTTTAGTAATGTGACTCAAAGCCAGTTTCACACTCAACAGCCAGACCCAAGTGAGGGGCGCCGGAATGATTCAGAGGGGCTGCAAAAGCAGATGCCTACACTTGACCCTGGAGTATAGACTACAGTGCAAACATTTGTAATCGCCAGAGGACCATTGAATACTTTTGTTTTCTGAAAGGGAGGTGGGGGAGGGGGTGGCAAGGCTGAAGGCCAAATAGGTCAGGGAACCTATGGACTAGATGTTTGTGGGGAAGTTGGAACAGAAGAAAGAAATCAGCTTCGACTCACT